AAGAGGAAAAATAAACCAAATAAGAAAAACCCAGAACAACAAAATCCTCAAGAAACATCTCATTAGATCCAGAACCTTGCAAAGACCAGTTAATATAAGAAACAAAATAACTAGACGTCAAAGTCCAAAGAGAATTAAGAAGCAATCAGGGTTTTGGCTGATATAATTAGCAAATTCGAATAACCAAGGAAAGAAGGAAAATGAACCAGCAAATGAAAAAAGGGACAGAACAAAGCATCAACCAGTCAAATTAACCAAAGTACCGTGGAGCGTTAGGTGAAAAAACTCTCCAGCAGTGAACCAAAGTATTCTTAACGAAAATTAAGGAAAATACACGTTTTCTAGCACCATATTAGACGAGTCAATAGAAAAATACACATATACCAGCTATAAATGGAAGGCATGTATATTTGCATTAAATGAAGAAAAGCGAATAACTACTCTGTAATCAGTACTCACCTCCGATGGACATATCTGTTCATATTCTCCCAATCAAATATTTGATAATTAGCCGTGGAAAACGAGATAATTCGAAGTTGTGGGGTTTGGGGGTCTAAAGTGACGACGATGTTTTTTGATTGACGATCGCATTCAAGGCAGAGACTGTGTCGTGCAAGAAGAAGAAACTCCAGTGTGTCTCAATTCCGCTAACAAACTGAGTAATTAACTTCGATTAAGGTTTAAAATAACCAAATATATGTAATTAAATACTACTAGATTTTGTTGTAAATATTATTTTTAAAAATATATTAATTTTTTTTATTAACTTGAATTATAAATATGTTTATAATTTTTTAATTTATTCACGATGCAAATATTCAATAAATTAACTGTTCAAATTTAAATATTTTAATAAAATATTTTTATTTATTATTAAAATCATTTAATAAAATCAATTTTATTACTGTGTAAATAAAAAGGAAACTTTTTTATACAACTCTTCTTATTTTTAATGATTAAGTAATGCATCTCTCAGTTTTGACATATTCGAGAGTTGGGTATATAAATTTCGGTTTATTTCATATTAGTATTTTATTAATATTTATTCATTCTATTAATATTATTAAAAAGGGTAAACTACACAAATGGTCATTAATGTTTAAGTTTTTGTTTTTCCTGTTGAAATTTCAAAATTAACAAATTAGTCATTAACGTTATCGATTTATAACAAATCATTCACTCGTCGTTAATGTAATAACTTAATGATGATGTGGCATGTTAAACCAATTGACTTAGCACGTTTGACAACCAACCGTTTGACTACTATTCTTCTTCTTCTTTTTCTTTACTGACATGCTTCTCATATAATTTTGGTGTGTCCCCCAAGATGATCCTTACTATCGTTGTCACTTATTCAAGATAAAGCTAGCTTGAATAAGTTTAGGATTACTTTGTAATAGTGCTTGTTAGTCCAAGAGAAGAAATACCATAGTGTTCGGCAATTTACACCAATGTGGTCTTTATTTACAATCTGGTTGTGTAGATAAACCTTGTTGAATTGTTACTATCAAACGTAGTCTTTGACATAAAGATTTATTCCAGGGGCATTTGAAACTTAAGATGAAGATTCCCGGATCCTTGGTCATCAATGTTATGTGTATTTGTTTCTTCCTTGCAATAAATCCAGTTGGAAGCCCAAGATAACAATGTGGATGCTGCTAGAGATCAAACACGGTTTAAAATCTTCTGTTTTCATCTTTTCCTTGTATCCAAATTTAACTTTCATATTGAGCTGCACTTTTTTTTAAAAATATGCACAGATGAATTAATTATCCAATGATGTAACATCGGCCTTTTAGGAACATACTTGGTTTTTTAAATGCTCGACATTTCTCAATTTCTTTGCAATGCTTATTTTTAGTAATAGTGATGTCAGTTATTGCGTAACTGGTATCTAATGACACCCATTGAGACATTAAGAAGCACAGTGCTTCTGCCGAAATTAATTGAATGATGGAACTCCAGATCTTGGTTGGAATTTCCTATTTGTATGTGTTGGTACTAGTATTGATTTTTCTCTGTAGAAAATATACATTTCCTTGGTGTTGTTCTGTTGAATTGTTAGCTCTCATATATTTCTGTCTGATCAGCATTGTTTCCCTGTATTCTTCTAGGGGAATGACAAAATTGCATTGGTTCAGACAAGGTGGGCCTTTGTGAATAAGGATGAGAACTTGCTCACAAGACTACAGAACGTAAATTGATCATTCCATTTTGAGGTTGAACAGCCGGTCAATGGTGTGTTTATCAACTTCTTTAGTTTCAATGGAACTGCTGGTGTGTCACGTGTGGCGATTTAAGGCCCTTGAGGGATGTGGTGGATGGCTGGAACGAACAACTGTTGAGGACATGTATATTGCCGTTCGTGCTCACGGCTCACCTTTCTGGATGGAAGTTTGTATATCTGAATGATGTTAAGGTGTGTGACTATCATTTATAATATAAAAATTCCTTCATCACTTGAGAGAGTAAGGAAAGGTGACCTAATCTTTCTGGCTGCAGTGCCTTTGTGAGCTTCCCGATTCCTATGAGGCATATAAGAAATAGCAGCATCGTTGGCATTCTGGTCCAATGCAGTTGTTCCGCTTGTGCTTCTTTGACATACTTCGTTCTAAGGTACTGTGGTTTCTTAAAACTATTATGTCAGACATTTCTTGTTTTCATAAAAATTAAACCATACATGCATGCATAAATTAATTATATTTCCTTAAAAATATTGTACTTCATACAAATTTTATTAATTTTCTCATTCTTGTGGAGAATCCGTTACTACACTAGCCCTTACCATCTTATCTTTATTTATGAGAGGCACGTTTATCCTGCGAGGAGTAGAGTCGGTTTAATGCGCCACGCTAGCCTTTCAGTGCAATAACGATTGTTAACGGTAAGTGATCGATTTATTATAAATTGAAATCGTTAGCGACTAATTTGTTACTTTTGAAACTTTAATAGGAAAAATGAAAACTTACTCAAAATTAGTGACCATTTGTGTAGTTTACCCTATTAAAATAATATAAAAAATACATAATTATTTTTATCAATTCAAAATCTACATTCCATCTAGTATAAAGTATCTAATAGTTACATAATTTTTAAGATATTTTCAATTTAATCATTGTAATTGAAAATTGGTAAACACTTAATAACATCTTAATTTAGCACATAGTTTAAATAAAACAATGACACATATTATCGTTAGACTCACTATAATATTATTATACGATATAAATAAACGATTTTTAAATAGAATGATATTAAAATTAATTATATTTATTTTATAAATATATTAATTCATATAAATAATTTCTAGTATAATTTTCTGCTTTGCTTGAGAATTTCTTTTATAAATTTGATTTTAATAGCATCATAAGTAATGCTAATATTAAAAGAAAAATAATAATATTAGCAAAGAGAACAAATAATCATTTTAATATTTTGAATTGAAGACTATGACTATAATTTTAGGTTAATAAATTATGTATGTTTTAATTATCACAATTTTGATTATTCTGTGACACATTTTTCACTTTCAATAAATACATACAAATTTTATAGATTGATATACGAAGAGACATGAAAATAAAATAAAATAAATAAAAATAATAATATAAATTTATATTTATATTTCTATTTAATGCTACCATCTTTGCTTGCAACCACTTATATGTATGTCTAAGATATTTATTGCTAAGATATTTAAAGCTACAGCAACTTCCCGATGCATAGTGTCGTCACTAGACCTGGGGGTTCAACGTAGGTTATCTCATTCTCACCGACTGGTTTCTCGCAAGTCAACGACGCCGATAAACTCGCCACCGAATTCCTCTCTCCATTCATACGATATATTCTCACATCCCAATCATTTGCTAAGAGATTAAAGTTTCAATTTTGTTGTATCTAGTTGACTCGCACCTGTAACCAGATGCGAAGCCAATCTCCCATCCAGGCGAAAGCTCCCAGCAATTAAGCTCTTTCTCAGCATAATTATCCTAAGAAAATACCATGTTCCTTTTCTTCCATAGATTCCAGCAGATGATTGCAAATAAAGAATCAGATATTACAACGCATTTATTTTAAAGGAATTTATTTGAACTTTCTGTGCATTATTTTCACGATTTAATCCTCGAGGACTAATAAGAAGGATATGCTAACCATAATAAGAACATTTCCTGCAACCCTGTCTGAAATCCCTTAAGATCCACATACATAACAACTCTCATGTCCTATTGCTAGAACAAAGCTATCTAATAGTTTCGGAATCAAGTCAAAAGCTAGCTAAGCTAATAGTTTCGGCATGAAAATTATCTTCAAATGATACATCAGTTTAAAGGGCATGCTATTTTATTGAGCATTTCAATTACTTTATAATGTCTTTACTGATAATCTTTTGGTAAATATTATGTTGTGTTGTAGTTGTCTTAGGTGCATTTTGTCATTTTATCCCTTGTCTTGTAGTAATCTTCTTCTTTTTACATAACATAAATTTGGCTTCGAAAGTCACAATTTGTATTAAGGCTGTTGCTCTGCACTTGTCGTTTTCTTACGTGCGTTTTATTCTCCCATTCTTTTCTCATCGGTGGATTCTAATTTGTAAAATAAAGTCACTTTAATAAGTTTAAGAAGAAGGATTTGATTCTTGTTTTGAGCTTATCACCTTCTCTACATCATATTAAATTAAACCTAAATGGGGGGAAATCAAAGGGAAAGATTGCATTGAAGATTCCCCAGTTCCCTTAGGAAAAAAAAGGAAATTGTTTTAAAAGCTGAAGAAAGATAATGACTTTAAGTAATCATTTTAGAATAATAATCCCCATCATTTTGCATCTTTACAAAATCTCCAACATTTCCATGTCTGTCATCCATTCAAACTCTTTCATACAAAAAAAAACAAACACAACTGACACTGTTCCCTCTCTCTTTCTGCACACATTTTTCAAGAGCTCTCTTTTTGTTGCTCCACTATCACCCAACCAATATAAACCAAGTTCAGTGGTCTAAAATCAAAGCTAAACCCTACTGAAAAGTTGAACAGCTGATGAACATCTTCTCCATGCTGATCTTCCTCATTTCTCTTATCTTCACCTTCTTCTTAGCCTCTCAGGCTGCAACAATTCTGGTGGATGGTGTTTCACAGTGGAAGAATCCCACTGTTCATGTGGGAGACTCCATAAGTGAGTATTTATTCAACGAGTTTAGTATTTTGGGTTCTGATTTTACTAACATTATTCTATTACTTTTGTCTTTAACGTCTTGTCAGTTTTCAAACACAAGTATGGGTGCAAGCTCTACATTTTCCAGAACAACAAGGCCTTCAATCTCTGCAATTTCACCCAAGCTACTATCCTCACCAAACCAAACTCCACTTCCTATACGGTATGGAACTCTCTATTTTCTAAGTGGTTTTCGAGGCTAACTGCGTTTAAGGCGGTGTCGTTCTTGTTTACACCATTGCAGTGGCACCCTTCTCGCCCTGGTTTCTTCTACTTTGCTTTCAACAATGGCTCTCTTAAAACGTGCCAAGGCTCTCAGAAGCTCTCCATTAAAGCATCTCCGGCGCTGCTTCCCGGAAAAGCTACCAAAACCCCTTCACCAGAATTGTCTCCAGAAGCGTCTCCGGCACCAACTTCGGGTGGACCAGTCGTGCCATCTTCTCCGGCATATCCATGGCCGTTTAGGCCTCGCCAGGAGGCGGTTTCGCCTGCGCCAAGTGCTAGGTCGCCGGTAACGGTGCCGAGTTTAGTGCCAGATAAAGGTGGCGGCATCTCTTTTATCAACAGTAACCCTGCAGTTCCATTGCCGACTGATGAAGTTGATTCTGCAACTATTCGACCGTTGCCCACCTCTGATCATGGAGGACAGGTACAGTATTTACTTAAATTCTCTTTTTATATAGATGTTTATATATCTTATTATCGATTTATGATTTGAAATTTTAATATAATGAAGAGGTAATTTTTCTCGCAAATTAAAAAAAAATATACACTTGCAAATTAATATAAGGTTTTTTTGTGTAATTTTAAGTTTTTATATTTTTAAAGGGGAAGGTATTTTTTATTTATAAAGCTCTTTTGTTTGGTGGTTGCAGGCGGCGAAGGGATTCCTTGTGGCACCACCAGCGGCGGCAGCTCCCATGACTGTATTTTGTGTGGCATTTCTAGTACTGCTGTAAAAGGAGAGTAGTGAAATTTTGTTGTAAATTTATTTATAAAAAAATTGAGTGATTTAGAGGGTAAAGTAGGTAGGATCAAGTGGACCATTAGATTATATTTGCGCGTGTGTGAAAGGCGATGCCAGGGCATTCCCATTGCTACCAGTTCCCACTTTGTAATCATTTGCTTACCTTTTTCAACTTTTACCTTTCCTTTTTCTCCCTTTATAATTAAATTCTGCTCACATACAAAAATATCACAAATACTATAAGTACCAAACTTATATACATATAGATGGTTCAAATATTAATATATTTTAACTATCATCTGATCTAATTAAATAAGATGTTCAATTTTAAAATAATGTCTATATTTTAAATTCTAATGTTAAAAATGAGATAAGTTAAATTAAAAAAATTTATTTTTTATATATTTTAATTTGAATTAGTTCATCAATATATTAAATATCAATAATTTAATAAAAAATTCTGTCATTCTACTTTTGCTCATCGGCCTCTTGTTGCATTCCAAATTCTAGTAATTGCAAAATTACTCCCAGTTCGAGATAAAATACCAGCAACTTCCCCTCTCCATTTCAGGATTTTTCTCCAACACCAGTTGGCATTTCTCTTCACTGACACCTGCAAAAAAAAAAATCAGACTTGAGAATATTCTCCTCCAAAGGGCTAATATTAAGCAGATGTTTGGAGAAATTTTCAAATTATTATATAATTTAATTTTTTTTATATATTTATCGGTGATTTAATTTTAAATTTTAAATTTTTTACAAATTTACATCCTTTAAGTTCTAATATAACTTCTTAAAAGTCCCTAAGATAAGATTTTACATTTTTTTCATGTTTATTCACTGATAGAGAACCCTGAGTAGCCATAATGTTCCTGATTAGCAAAATAATGCAGACTTTTTTTTCCACCCTGGAAGTTTATTTAATCCCTAGTCCTCTCTCTGGCTTGGGAGTGCAAACATGACTCCAATTAACATTAGTTCCATAAGAACATGGTACAAAGTTGAGAAATTTGGTTTAGAACTGACGGCTGATTAGCCATTATTTTTGGATGTTATCTTGACAGAACAGGGAAATTAGTTACTAATGCCTTATCCAATGGAAAAAGCATGGAACAGATGCAGCAAAAGTCAAGAAAATAATTTGATTAATCCAATGAGAGATTTCTGTTTAATCAGACTTTTACAACCGAAAGAAAAAACATATGGGGGGATTATTTTCAAGGCCACATCATGCGCAGTCATTTACAGTCACATGAAAAGCACAAGGCATACGGCCTACCTACTTGAATTGGCAACTACATATATTCTTCTACTGATGTCTTAGGCATCAAGAAAGCAAATTTAAAATCTTAGCCAAAAAATTTACCAGTGGATAAACAAAAACAAGACGCTTCTAGTGCTTGAACTAGAGAGTTTATACAAACTTTGAAGTAGGGCTGTAAAAAGTTGATTTGATTCGTAAAATTGACTGAAATTGACTTGAGTCAAAACTGTTTTTGACCTGCGCTGTGGCGATCCGAAACCGACTCGAGTCGGAACTGGTGTTGACCTGAACCCGAGTTTGACCTGAAAATTGTGGATCCGAACTCGACCTGCATGCGACCTGAGAACGACCTGAACCCGAATTGAACCGAAAATATGATATCCGAACCCGAACTGCATCCGACTGATATGAAACCGAACCCGAGATTGACCTGGTAAATAACTGGTATTACCCGACCTGTTTTCAACCTGACCTGTTTTCAACCTGACCTGTTTAAAGTTTAGAATTAGGGTTTATGGTTTAGGGTTTAGGGTTTTTATAAATTATATATTTTATTACTTTATATAGTTTATGCATAGTGTTTCTATAAACTATATAAGTAATTTACTTTATATAGTTTATATATATATAGTTTATATATACTATACATGGTTTATACATACATATTATATAAAATTATTTAATAAAATTAATAAAATTATTTAAATGTAAATTATATAAAACATGATTAATTAGGTGTTAAATAATTAGTATGTCACATTGCATATTATATGGTTCATAAATAGTAGTACATGTCATATTAATTTAAATTGCATAATTTGTATTTTAGTTGCATGTTAGGTTAATTCACATTAATGGCTCATTTATTTTGTTGTTATGAATAAGTAATAATAAAACCCAAAAATAAGTCCATTTGCAATAGTGCTAGTCCATTAACACTAGTTTACATAGGCCCAATGCAAGTCCACTCTTTTATTACAAATATATATGCATTAGTGCTAGTCTATTTAAATTAGGGTTTATGGTTTAGTGTTTATGGTTTAGTGTTTATGGTTTAAAGTTTAGAATTAGGGTTTACGATTTAGGATTTAGGGTTTCTATAAACTATATATTTTATTACTTTATAGAGTTTATGCATAGTGTTTCTATAAACTATATAAGTAATTTACTTTATATAGTTTATATATATAGAGTTTATATATACTATACATGGTTTATACATACATATTATATAAATTATTTAATAAAATTAAAAAATTATTTAAATGTAAATTATATAAAGCATGATTAATTAGGTGTTAAATAATTAGTATGTCACATTGCATATTATATGGTTCATAAATAGTAGTACATGTCATATTAATTTAAATTGCATAATTTGTATTTTAGTTGCATGTTAGGTTAATTCACATTAATAGCTCATTTATTTTGTTGTTATGAATAATTAATAATAAAACCAAAAAATAAGTCCATTTGCAATAGTGCTAGTCCATTAACATTAGTTTACATAGGCCCAATGCAAGCCCACTCTTTTATTACAAATATATATGCATTAGTGCTAGTCCATTTAAATTATGGTTTATGGTTTAAAGTTTAGAATTAGGGTTTATGGTTTAGGGTTTAGGGTTTTTATAAATTATATATTTTATTACTTTATATAGTTTATGCATAGTATTTCTATAAACTATATAAGTAATTTACTTTATATAGTTTATATATATATAGTTTATATATACTATACATGGTTTATACATACATATTATATAAAATTATTTAATAACATTAATAAAATTATTTAAATGTAAATTATATAAAACATGATTAATTAGGTGTTAAATAATTAGTATGTCACATTGCATATTTATGGTTCATAAATAGTAGTACATGTCATATTAATTTAAATTGCATAATTTGTATTTTAGTTGCATGTTAGGTTAATTCACATTAATGGCTCATTTATTTTGTTGTTATGAATAAGTAATAATAAAACCCAAAAATAAGTCCATTTGTAATAGTGCTAGTCCATTAACATTAGTTTACATAGACCTAGTGCAAGTCCACTCATTTATTACAAATATATATGCATTAGTGCTAGTATATTTATATTAGGGTTTATGATTTAGTATTTAGTGTTTGTGGTTTAAAGTTTAGTGTTTGTGGTTTATGATTTAAGGTTTCTATAAACTATATATTTTACTACTTTATATAGTTTATGTATAGTGTTTCTATAAACTATATAAGTAATTTACTTTATATAGTTTATATTTATAATATATATATATATATATATATATATATAGTTTATATACTATACATGGTTTATACATACATATTATATAAAATTATTTAATCAAATTAATAAAATTATTTAAATGTAAACTATATAAAACATGATTAATTAGGTGTTAAATAATTAGTATGTCACATTCTATATTATATGGTTCATAAATAGTAGTACATGTCATATTAATTTCATTTGCATAATTAGTATTTTAGTTGCATGTTAGGTTAATTCACATTAATAGCCCATTTATTTTGTTATTATGAATAAGTAATAATAAAACCCAAAAATAAGTCCATTTGTAATAGTGCTAGTCCATTAACATTAATTTAGATAGGCCCAATGCAAGCCCACTCTTTTATTACAAATTTTAGTTGCATGTTAGGTTAATTCACGTTAATAGCCCATTTATTTTGTTATTATAAATAAGTAATAATAAAATCCAAAAATAAGTCCATTTGTAATAGTGCTAGTCCATTAACATTAATTTAGATAGGCCCAATGCAAGCCCACTCTTTTATTAAAAATATATATGAATTAGTGATAGTCCATTTACATTTTAAATTTATTTCGATTTAGTCCCTTACCTATGTGTGTTGTTTAATTTATATTTTAAGATTTTATTTGTAATTTTACATTTCTTCAATTTTGTCATTAATTTTATTTTTTTACAAAATTGATCCATGATTATTTATTTTTCTCTTATTTTACTCGAAATCAAATACAATTACAACTTTCAATTCAACAATCACGAAAGATGAAAAATTAATTAATCCAAAAAAATAAAAACGACCCGACCTGAACTCAATTCGTATCCGATAAACATTTGACCTGAATTTTATCTGTCAATGATGTGACCCGATCTGAACGAGATCTGACTGAAGTCAACCCGAACCTGAATTAACCTGGTATTTATCTGCTTCGGACCTGAATTGTTTTGACCTGAACTGAAATCGATCCGAACTGAAAATCACCCGACCTGAACCCGATCTGGATCTGATGTCAAGATCCAACTGAAATCTGACTGATTACCTATTTTTACAGCCCTACTTTGAAGTGTTGCAAGGAGCAGAGTGTGGTGGCAGTCTCTCCAAGCCCGTTTGGTAGGTAGCAAAAGGGGTTGAATATGCTCCCTCTGGATTATGCACATGTTATGTTCCGCTTATTATCAACAAATGGGACAGTGAGTCCCTTCCACAATAGTTACAGGAGCTGTTGCTATAGGACTACAGATGTCTAAACCACACACATCCAACACTAAAATCAATCATCATCATTCCACTACTGGATACAGCAAACATGACACGTTGCATTACTCACCACTGGACAATGAAATTCTGCTTGCACAGACAGAATTGATGTCCAGCAACCCTCGCCAGACGAGCCACAAACACGCATGCACATTAAAAGTTAGTCCAAGGACTTCAACCAAGATGAAATGCCACAATTTTCTCAATAGTCATGCTGGACAGTGGGGTAGAAAGCAAAACAGAAATGACTTCTGCTTTAAAGAAGTATTAAGTGTCCAATGCAAGAAACAAGGATAAAATCAAGTAAATAGAAGTCCTGCAAATACTAGGAATAAGCCGAGAGAGCAAACGGATAGTATTTTCATGAGGAAACCATCACACAAAATTTTTCATTTCATCCCGTAGATACAACTTTGGCCAAAAACTTGGCAAATAAATTGAACACTGGTTCATAAGCGTTCATCTTATTATTGTATCTAAGTGCAGACTATTAACAAAGTCGCCCAAAAGGTATATAACACTGACAAATAGACAAAAAATTTGAACAAAAAATCAACTACAGAACCAAGATGCAAATTTACTGAGAAATTTGATTACACATAATAACACAAATTTACTGATAGTGGTGGCAGACAAGAAAATCATCCTTGTTTTCCTCCTCAGCCTTTTTTCCTTTTTCAAATTTTGGTGGTGCATGCCTCAAAATCCTCCTCCATTTCTTTTCCAACTTCATCTCCTTTTTCCATGATCCTGGAATTCCGTCGAGGCCAAAATCAAAACATATTTGCAAGTTGTACATTTGACACTTACAATTTAAGCCAAATCCAACCCAACAACAGTGTTTTATTCAGGATTGTGTCCCCTTCCAAAAGAGTCAAGACCGTCAGTTCGGCTCCGAACGATCCTATGAAACACCTCCCTAACTTGCCTTTCCAATGGTTCTAAACCTTCCTTCATTGCTTCGCAAACGTTCCTCAGTTCCTTCACTCTCTGCCTAACCTCCACTTCCTTTTCCTCGCTCAACGGAAACTGAACAGAGTCGGCAAGTTCACCTAACAACCGCGAACACTTCTCAACTTGATAAATCTCCCTCAACAGTCCACAAGAACTTCTCCTCTCCCTCTTCCTCGACTCTTCCATAATCCGGTCGTGCAACGAAAGTATCGGAGCCGCCCATGGAAACTGCTTGGGTACATAAAAATGAACTTGCAAACCGCGATCCTGGCATGGAATTGCAGCCACCAACGCCCACATTACAAACAACAAAACAGAACCCATTGTGTAAACAGGGATTGCAAGTCCATTGGTAGCCACAACCTCATTCCCTCGTGGCACATTCAAGTTGTTCCCTATGGCCTGGAGCTGCCTAGCCGCAGACCAAGACCTCGAAACACTCCAAGATAACGACCTGAAATGACCCAAAGAACGATGAGGATGATCCTTGGAGTGACTGCTGCTATGATTGTTTCTTCCAAAGGAACGATTCCGATAAGCCAAAGCTTGACCGGAATCTTTCTCATCAAGTATCATAATGGCTAAATCTATCAACGCCTTTTTCGCGCGACGAAATTGCCCTTCTCCTAGACTTCTCCGAAAGCAGCTTTCACTACCATTATTATTAACATTACTATCACCCAAAGCGCAAAGCACGATTTCTAGCAGCTTCTGCCATTGCCTGATCTGTTCTATTCCATCTCGAACCGCATTACAAACATCAAGAGCCTTAACACCACGTTCGTAAAAATCGGCAATCAGACGGTCCAGGGGAGGTTTCGTCAGTTGAGCTTTGTTGTTAAAAAGGATGACCCGAAATTCCTCTTGACAACAAAGGAAAACGTCGAGCAACTTTCGAACCGAAGGAAGTGAAAGCAATTCATCGGAAGACACCGAAGATAAATCATGAAATCTGTCGGCAACTTGCCTTTGAAACGACTCCATCTCGTGCGAAGCCGATACATAGTTCGGCGATTCCATCGCGTGCACCTGAGATACTAACATCGAATATCATCAATTACGAAACTGAATGCGATTCCATCGCCTGCACCTGAGATACTAACATCGAATATCAACAATTACGAAACTGAATAAATCAAATTCAGGTTTAAATTGGATTTAATATTAAAGTTTAGAAGATGTGAGATAGACGAAGAAACCCTAGTAAAGGAGATGGCATTTGATTGGGGACTTTTGGACTGCGTTTGATTATAGTTGTTGGGAAACTGAAAGGTCTAATCTGTGGTCGACCAAAGATACAATTTTATAGGGTAAATTATACATTCAATTTTTTAATTATAAGTGAATTTTAATTGAACTATTAATCTTTTAATTTTATAAGTCATATCATTTAATTATCTAAATAATGTCAATTAAATTATTTTGTAACATTTGAATGAAAAACTGATGATTAATAAATTAATATATTTATATATTTGATCTTTATTATTTACATATTCTATCAATTTAATCTTAACTCTTTAATATACATGTTTGTGTTACTAGTGACACATGTCATGACACATATCGTTATCTAGTTAAATAATTTTTTTTAATTTACTTGACAAATTTCTCTCCATATTATATTTTTTTTCAAATTTGATACCTAAACTTTTTTTTGGTAACACTGATCTCCCACGTTATCTATCTCATCCAAATCACATGGATATTAGTAGTTAATGAATTTGTTGTTATCCCATGACTTAAGCTCAAGCGGTAGAGTATGAACGCTCATTGTTAAATGATTGAGAGTATTTGAACATATATCATTTTATTTCACCTTAGATTTAAAAAAAACTCACGAAAAAATAGGTTAAGTTTTGACTTTTAAAATACTTTTGTTGTGAAATTTTCTTTAAGTTTTTCAATTTCACAATTTTTTATTTTTATTTTTAATATAGTGAATTGTTTAATAATTTTTTTATTTTTGGAAATAAATAGCATTTTAATTTTTATTTCAAAATTAATTAATTTTCAATATCACGTCAGGAATTAATTAATATTTGAATATATCATATCAGTACCATTTAAGATCACATCAGTATAATAATAATTAAAAATATTTTTGTAAGTTAAAATAATTAATTACAAGTTTTAAATTTGAATTAAATTAGATGTATTTTTTAATGGAAAGCTTAAGTGATTTTACCAGCAAGTTAAATCAAATGTAAAATAATATTATTAAAACTTTCTTATGGCTTAAGTATTATAAATAATTAATCAACATAATTATCCAAACTAGAGTTTATTGTAATTATGTTGAGAGTGAAAACTATTTTTTAGGGTAAAAATAATTATTGATATAGAAATACAGAATAAATATATAAATTATTTTGCTTTTATTTTTATTATTATTTAAAAGAAAAATATAATATTACTTTTCAATTAACTTAATATTCTAATTAACATGTGACCCTCGAACTAAGTTAAAGTTTGTATAATAAATATTAGAATAAATTAGTCAAAGGATTATTTAATTATGAGATTAGTGTCAATACGATCATTATATTTTTAATTTTGGTAATATGACTATATAACTATTTAAGTTATTTTAATTACAAAATAAATGAAATAATTGATGTGGACTTCTGACTCGTCATTAGTCAATAACAACCACAGCAGTTATGTCGTTTGTTTTGTAACGGCAAGTGGTTATTTGAAATCACTTAAATAGTTATGTGGTTATATTACTAAAATTGAAAGTATAATGGTCATGTCAGTATTAATCTCATAGTTAAGTAGCCATTTGATTAGTTTACCCTAAATATTATATATAACGTATATTTGTTTAAAAGCCATTTGATACCTTTATTCTTCTGGCAAGTGGGTGCTAATAATTGTAAAATGTCAGAAATCAAGTGATGGAAGTATATGGCAGATCCTGAAAGGGACCGAACCTAACAGCCTATTATAAATACTTTTGATAAAATACAATATGAAGTCACTAAACTATATTTAAATAATCCTTTTGAGCATCAAACTTTCAAAAGTTACAAAATAATAACTAGATTATCAACATATTATAAACTTGTCACTGTGGAGTTCATAAATTTAATAATTATTTTGTAATATTTTGATAAAATTTAATGATCATTTTATAATAATTTGATACATATAATGATTATTTTATAATTTTTTCATTTTAAACTTAAAAACTACTATTTTAGTGCTATTTAGAACGGATAAGATTTTTCAAATTAATAAGTTGGAAGTTTCAGGATATAAAAGAGCCACGTGTACATCGTCCTTAATCGGAAATGGAAGACGGCAAGTTCCTTTCTCTTCTTGGTTTCATTAAAAGTACAATTTTTAGTTAGGTATTTATGATAAAAACGTTTAATTATATTTTGCGATAATAGTTTAATTGTTTGGTGATTTGTTACAGATGAATGCGATAGTTCAGCTTGATTTTATCTGTTAGTTAGAAGAATCAAATATTTGGTACAAGGATTATGCCTTTAATTGGACGGCTTGACTTGCCTGAAAATGACAATAAACCACCACTGCCACCCGTAAAATGCATTAATTAACGTCACATTTCCAGCTCTCTTCTACCTTCTATGAATAAACTTATAAAAATCTAGGAGAATGAAATTTTAAGATAAAACAGTTAATCAATAAAAAATACAAAAAAATAATAATTAGATTATACTAAAATTTATATTTTTCATGAGAAACGAGCATCCCCCAAACCCTCTCAATCCATCCATGCTCAACTTCAACCACAAATCTCACACCACGTATCAAGCATATCACTCGTGGGAGATTGCTGGCATTAATTACCATAAAGACTAGTTACATGACTTCCATCCGTGGCTAACAAGCTAGCTAGGAACAGTTTAAATCAATGCAAAACTGGAAAGAAAAGAGTTGCTCCAATCTTTCCTCAGATTACATCCATGTTTGTCATTTTCAAATGTACTGATATACACTAATGAACATGAATCCAATACTACATACAAACCACTACAGTGTTTTAAAAACGAAGAACCTGATTAATCACTAGCTTTATGTCTCATTATAATCGTTGTTACTCTCCTTCCATTCAAGGTCACATTGGACGAACCGAGAAGCCAAGACTTCCTAAACAACCTGGCAATCTCCTTGACTTCCTCCTCGCTACATTCATCCACAACCACCACACACAGTCCGCCTTTCCTGACTGTCCTCTCCATCTCCCCTGCATACCGCATAGGATACAAGGCCTCCACCAAATGACCAGAAAAGGCAACATCGAAAGCCCCATCAAAGAAAGGAAGATTATGTGGATTGGCCCTGCTAACCAAAGGCAAGGATTCTATCAGTTCAACACCTATGACATTCTCCAGACCCATTTTAGATAAAGCCATGACCTCGTGGCCGGCTCCAGCAGAGACACAGAGGACTTTGGAGTGCTTCTTTAGGAGTCTCATTTGGTACAGTTGGGTGAAGAATTCAGTAAAGGAAGAGACCTGGGTCATCCAAGATTTGGAGGACCAGAGGCGGGCATTCTTCTTGGAAAGAGGAAGATAGTGGCGAGGGGTAGAGTCACAGGTGGAGTTAGGGAACCTCAAGCGAGGCTTTTGGGGAGTGCTTGGTGGGATGCTTGTTTTTGGGGTTTGGAGGAAGAGAGAAAAGGCAATAAGTGTGGCTATGGTGATTGATACAAACGATACCTTGTTTAGGGAACTTTGTATTTTTCTTTCCATTTCAGTTAATCCGCGGTCAAGAAATTCACCCCAGTAGTGTGTCAGCCTATTTCTCCATCAACAATGCAGTCCGATAACAACAGAATCTATAAGAAGGGCAGAGAGAGCTACTTTTATTTCTCAGTTTTTGGCTTCTCTTCTGTTCACAAAATACTGTGTTTCAAGCAATTTCTCTCGCGCAGCTTGCATTGGTAAACTGCAATACAAGATATACCATTACACCAACTATAAACCGCATACGTATTCCATAAAAGTCTTAACCAAGCAATCCTATAGAACATGCCATGTAGGCCACTATTACAATAACAATGACAGCAACAGCAGCAGAAGCAGTAGCATAAACTTTTCTAACCTGTAGTCACTATAGAAGAAAATTATACCCAAGTACGTCGTCACATATTCAAGACAAGATTCAAATCATAGGGGGAAAAACGAAAACCACAATCGAATAATGGAATGCATTCGTGTAGGAAGAAACTATAGTTTAAAACATCTTTTACAGAACCTGGAAAACCATAATTTAAAATTAAATAGTCAGGCTGTTTATACTTGTAATCAGTCTAAGAATATTCATAGCATACAAGTAATTTTATAATCCAGGCCACATCTAAAGCCTTTTACCACAAATTTCATAAAAAAAAAACCAAACACTAGCTGAAACATTAAAGATCGATGTGGTCTTTTATGGTAGTAAAGCTTATAATTTTTGCGAAAGGGCACAGCTTCTGGAGTAGACAAAAACAGGAACAGGTAGGCAAAACCAATTACCACCCATCAATTACTTGTAAACTGTAGTCAAGCATAGAACAAAACCGATAACCCACAATTATTTACCGTAAACTACTGCTAGTTAATCCATTGCATGAATTATAAGCCAATTAAACAAATACCGCAAGAGCACAGCATGGCATGACAAAAAGCCCTCAGATCTCGTAGCTATGGTTTGTAATTCGTGGTTTTAACCAACAAAACTAATTTTCCTTAAGAGCACCAACCACACAGCAGCAGTGTCCGTATGAAGAAAGAAAGAGATGTTCATCAAATGAACCCAGAGAGAAAGAAAAGAAAAGAAAGATGCTCTCGAGGCCATTGCTGAAAGGAAACGGCCAAAGTGAAGATCAGAAATAACTGATCCATTTTCTAGTAGTTCTGGATCAAATACTTAAAGAGAGAGAGAGAGAGACAGAATTTCAACCATCTGAAATTGGAGTCTAAAATGGGCAGATCTCGCACACAATGATGAATCAAAAGCCGAAAAGAACAATGAAATAGTACTCACCGTGAAACAAGCATCCGCCGGATGGAACACGATATTGATCGGAAACAAAGACAGAAAGACTAGACAACTCAAGTGTCAGTCTCAAGTTTTACCTATGCTATTCGTACCCGTAGATCTTGAAACTCTGTACTTTTTTTTTGGGTTAACAAAGATAGCCACAAAATTAATGGGTAGATGATAATTGCTTTATTTATCTGTTATTTCGATTTTAAATTTTTATTTAATCTTGATATTTGTGGTATATTTATTCAATTTGATTTTTTTTTGGATATGACACTAAATTTTAGAAATTACATTAGAATAATATAATTCTGTAATTTTTTTTATTTTTCGGAATTAAAATTGGATTAGTGTGCATAACTTCAGACATGACGCATCTTAAAAGGCGACGATGTTAACACCTTTTAAAATGTTCAGTTAGCACTTCTAGAAGAATGAATAGATCATTCGCACGTTTCTGCAATCTAGATTTAAATTACAATCATATTTTAAGATATTATTTTAAATATTATTTTATATTTTATCTTATCTTTGTTTTTAGTATTTTAGTTTAAATAATTTTAAGTATTTTTATTAGGGTTTATTTCTTTATTTTATGATTATCTTTATCTTATTTTTAGGATTTTGAAGGCTATAAAAACTCTCTCAGGATAAATCTAGAAATATATCTCTCAAAGAATTTACTTTTTTTCTTCTTTCTAGTTTTATAAAATTCTCTCTTCTCTTTTCTTTTTCAAGTTTTTATTTATTTTATTTTATTTTAAGTTTCATTTTTAAATATGTTAATTATGACTTTTGTTATGATAAGCTAATTTTCTCTTAAGCCGAAAGCTAAAGCGATGATTTAACTCCAAACGTGAGAATTAACTCCAAACGTGAGAATTGTAAGACACTTAAATCGCTTCAGATATATCTTTCTGTTTTCTGGGCTTATTTTTAAATCAAAACAATTTTCAAAACCAAAAATCGACGTTGGTCTGGATGTTGTTATGGTTAACGTGGGAGGAATGATCGACTTATTGAAGCACATTCGACTTCCTGGGAACACATTTAGCAAAATTGTTTGCTAAGAGAAAATTAAGATCGTAATAAGTTATTGTTGAAACAACATAATCTGAGTCGGCAACTTTTCGAGCATCAACGTTTTTAGATCTGTAGCATTGTTGTTGCTTAGATCAATTCACAAACCGATATTAAAGATTGCACTTGAGTATTCGGTATACAAAGCATAGTCAGAAGGATTTGTCCTTTTAGACAAGTAACCGATGTGAATCCTGAAATAAAGATCTATTTCGATGATCTGAGTCAAAGCTGAAAGCTTAAGGTTACTTTTCACAATAAGTTTTCTTTTCAAAATCAAATTATTATTTTATTCTATTTATTATTTATTATTATTAATTGTCTTTATCTTATTTTCAAACAATCTTTCAAAATCTCCCTATTTTATCTTATTATTATCTCACCTTTATTTTTATTTTTATATATATTTTTAATCTTGAATTTTATCCCTATCCAAACTCTAATGTTCAAAAACAAAAAAAATAATTAAATCTGAAACTGCATAGTCTCTTTGAGATCGATCATTACTTTCCATTTGCTATATTTTCTTTATATTTCTTTTGGGATTAAGGAATTATTTTGACGCGAAAACGACGCGTTCCATTTGATCGGTACCCATAGATCTTAGTGGTAGTTTTGTTGTATGACAACTTAATTTAAGGTTAAGGAAAGACGCTATTAAAAATATTAATATTTTTTAACATTTCTGGTAGAGCGCTACTTAAAATATTATTTTTTTATCGAAGATGTTAATTTTGCTACCTAAAATGAATATTCCGATATTAACATTTCCGGTAGAAAAAAAATAACATTTTAGATAGCGTTCTACCGAAAATGTTAAAAAAATATTAATATTTCATTTGCCTTATATTAGGATGTCTTTCCTTAGACATCCCCAGATCTTGGAACTCTTTACTTTTTTTCTTTTTTTGTTAACATGGATAGCCATAAAATTAGTGGGTAGATCAATCTAGCATATTAGACATGTCTGAATTAAAAATGTGATGAGCTTGCTGAGGGGGGTGAGTAAACGTGGAAATCTCCATGCTTCGGTAATATCCCATGCGAGCAAGGCAGTCAGCAAGCCGATTAAATTCCTTCGGAGTGTGACTGATTCTAACGCTCCAGGACCGGTTGAGAAGAGCAAGATTCTCCTAAGAAGTGTAGGCTCAAACGATTGGGGAGGAGAGTTGAGATTGCGGGCAACTTGAATATTATTGGTGTTGATCACCTATATGTCGGAAGCTATGTTGCTAAGAGGGCAGTGCATTTGTCGATTATCCTGCTATATTCAACGATGCACTTACCATTCTCATCTCGAAATACACCTCCACTCGCCACTTTCATGGAGTTCGGTTGCATCGCTCCATCCGTGTTTAACTTTATAACTCTCGGAGGAGTATGCTTCCATTTGGTGGAGCATCTATGTTGAACAGGTTGGGTTGTATAAATTGCCTTGCCTTGATCTAGCCTGCCCAAGCTTTGGCCGATAGAAGGATATCGGAGGAAGCATCAATTTGCCCGTTAAACACTACATATTGTGATGCTTCCAAAGCTTCCAAATAAGGATCCCAAAAAGGTGTCTCTAGTGATAATCCATAGTATCGTTCCCTGCAAAGTTAGAAGTGAGCCAATCAAATAATGGTTGTGAAAAAAAATAAAGAAGAAGATTGTGCTGGAATAATATGGTACCATATTGCTCGGGCTTGGTGACAGTCCCCAAGGATATGGGTAATTGATTCCTTCTCAGCGCCACACAACAGACAACGATCATCATCCGTAAGACCCCGTCTTTTCCGTTCGGTATTGGTCATAAGTCGGCGGCGGAGAAGCAACCATATGAACTGCCAAATCCTCTGTGGGCCATCGAAACTACACGCTAACTTCCATTTTGTATCAGGCTCATCCCAACTATTCTTCTGAGTACACACAAAGGCAAATTTCATAGAGCACAATCCCAACTGGTCCCAACGCTACACTGAAAGATCCTTGCTCAAATCATTCGAGGGGAGGAGAAGTTCCTAACACACGCTGGACAAGATCAGTAGAGAGTAATTGACGCTAACTTTTAGTTCACTGATTTAGTTCGATTTAATTATTGGAATTCAATTATAATTCTATCAAAATTCTTCTGTTAAATAAGACTATTTGATACATCTTTTAAAAGAATAATTATCAATTTAAAGCCATACCAAAAACGTAAACAATGATAAGATTTTCAACTCTGAATTTTAGGTTAAAATATTTTCAAGCTCTTCAAAGTGGGAAGTTATACATCAGCAGCCTAATTTAGGTTAAATAACAACATAACATAAACAAAATAAAAATTATTATAAAAAATATAACATTTCAATTGAACACAACCTAAAATGTTACAAAAAATATAACATTTTCAATTGAATGTTACGAAGAATGTGTACAATTAAAAAATGTTAAGAAAAAAATAACATTTTCAAAATAACACCCAACAAAAAAATATTAAATTTTTCATAATATTTTTTAGGTTGATGTGACTTTGAATTTCCTTTTCAAAGTAGAGAAATATTTATCATTTTGCTCACATGACTTCCAGCGCAATTCAATTTTTATTGAAATTCAATGGTGACGTGACATTTAATCTCAAATATGGAAACAATATAAGGATGAAAAGCATAATTAGACCAATATATCTTTATTTCATAATTCAAGATATGAAGTTAATGTTTCATTACCCAGTTCCAATGTTCAATGCAGTGCTATATTATAAAATTACAAAGCCATAAAATTCAGGATTCGTAACTACACACTTAAAAGAAATTACATACTTCAATTCAAGAACCAACAGAGCATTTACAAATTAACGAGTGGAACAGCAACACCATCGAAGATTTACGGTGCTTTCTGTTAGCTTTACAGCAGTCATGGAAAATATGGATCCGCAACCAACAACACGGTAATAGGTTATTTCTATTAGCCAGATAACGAACATGAAACATATTAGAGGAGATTGCACAATAAAAAAAATTACATATTTTAACACCAGCAATTAAAAATAATAAAGGAATATAAATTTAATCAAAAGTATTATAAAATATATGCAGCAAAAACAGACAGAGATCCCCTCAGAGTAATTGTATTCCCAAGGCTCTCCACATCCTTTTCCACAACTGCCATCAATAGTCATAAGACCAACAAATAATAATAATAATAATAACAACAACAACAACAACAACAACAAAAGCAGCTCCGCCAAGTAAGAGAGAAGATGAGAAAGAAGCCAAGACTAGTGATTACAAATAGTAGAAAGGATGGAGGCCAACAACAATGGAATAGCAACCTCCATGTACATATAGCATTCATCATCGGGGAGGGCAGGTTGATGTACAAACTAATATCCAAAAACAGCTTAGAGAATGTGATATCAACTGGAAATACTATATTGAGATTGACATAGTTCATAAGATTAATGTAGCTAGAGAAATACATAACATATCAAATGAGGACACATTACCATTCGGTAGCATTACATCATACTCTAGTTATTAAGAAAACATATTAACAGCAAAAAGAAATAGAAAACCACTATTAACAATGCATTCAACTAAGGGAGTGCAAGGCTATGGTTAACATGTAAATCGTATACAAACACAGAAAAATTAAAAGATTCAAAAAGTTAAACAAAGCCCTCAGATCTCGTAGTTATATGTAGTCATTTGCGGTGTTAACAAACCTGGCTTTGATTAAGAGAATTAACCAATCATCATCCATGTCCTTAAATATATATATTAATGATAGGAATAACTGAGGAATTGAGGGGAGGAGGGAGAGAGAGAGAGAGAGGGAGAGAGAGAGAGAATTATAGATAGAAACTAGACAGGATAAAGAAACAGCAATACAGAGAGAGAGAGCAATTGGACAACAGATGATGGTAAAGACTCAAAACAAAAATCAGAAAAAAATAGCTCCATAAAATGGGTTTTCCATCATTGGGGGGAAAATATCATCACAACAAAATCCACGCAAAAGAGGGGGAAGTGAACAGAATGAATTAGTTGCATGGAGGTTACGATTAAATTTAAATACTGTCTACAATAACATGATTCATTAATAAAAAATTTAAAGAAGCTTAAATAAATTTATAATGCAAGTATAACACATTTTTTTATTTAACAAATAATTTAAATACTATGTCTTCATTTTTGTGATGCATTAATTAAACTTTTAAATAAGCTTCAATACATTTATAAAACAATATAAGATATCACTAACAGTGCATGAAAAAGTATACTCAGAAAGTAAAGTGAAAAACACACATGCTTATGTTAATAGTTTGGCACATTATATGGCATTAGTTGAAGCCAGATGTCAAAATATAAACAACACAGACAGTTCTACTCAGACTACATTAGCATCCTATGCATGAAGACAGCTACCTTCAAAAACTCTCCAAAAGTGCAACTAAAAGAAGCCCTCAGAACTCATAGCTATGTCAGGATCATGTACAGTTCACTAAACCCATTCATCAATAGCTTCTCACACATCACCTGGCCAGCAAAGATAAATATATATATGTATATATATGTATGCATGTGTGTATGTATACATATGTATAGATTATGCAATACATTGCACATGGAGAGAGAGAGAGAGAGAGAGAATGAAAGGAGGTGGTGTGCAAAAGCCAAAGATGAATTGAAAACCATAACCATCCAAGAAAATATGAGTTTTCCATCATTGGGCAAAAATCAGCTAAGTCTCAATGAAACCAAAGATACAGGTTTCTAAATACATACATAACATTAACAAAGAAGAAACTATGAACTACGAGAGAAAAAGCACAATGGTCACAGTGGCTCTAATCTAGTTTACAATATCCTAAAAGGCCAATAACGTTTTAAGAGGACAAAATATTTCAAATAAAGCAAAATAAACTCAACAACACAATCTAACGACAGTGAAGCTCACAACTTTCATTAAAATCTACATCCACAGAGGTCAAAAGAAAAAAGAAAACAACAATAAACGAAATAACTATCTTAAATAACAAATTCGTCACATTATCCTCTACATGTTAAAGCATTTTACATTCATTAAGCAAATCTTAAAAAATTGGTATAAAAAGCAGTGAGATAGACTTGAACCAAGATGAACCACTAAGGAAATAACATACTCTCTTAAGTATTATAAGATAATGGACAGGAGAAATACTAGTTAAGGTTAAACAAGAAAAGAGTGACAATAATTTTTCAAACAATAAATTTTATAACGCTTTTCAATGCAGCAAATTAAGTAGAGGATGATACAATAATTGATAGAAAAAGACATAAAAAGCACATCAAGGAGTACATGATTAAAGTTAAATCAGACACTACCGACCCAAGCAAATATATCAAGCATTTAAAATAAACAAAGCTGCATTTTGGTTTACCACAGTTCTCAGTGAGGCTTCAAACATTTCATCTAGCAACAGAAAAACTAATTGCATGTATGATATAGTAAGAGATTAACATAGTTTATAAGAGTAATGAAGCACATCTACTGATGTCATACTAAGACCCTGTAGCACTACCTTTCCAAACTGTAATTACAAACGATCAAATAACAGAACAAAAAAATCCCCTTGTTGAAAACTGCTAATAAACACATTAAGCAAATTACACGTAGAAGTACGATCAAGAAGTAAATTAGATGCAATAAAACTAAGAAATAATAAACAGGATAATAAACTCAGATTCAAAAGGTTCAACAGTGCCCTCAGATCTCATAGCTATATTTGGTCATTTGCAGTATTAACAATCTGGTTTTCATCGAGAGGATTTACCAACCAACAGCCGTGTCCATAAGAAGAAATATAGAATTTAGAAAGAATAGAGATAGAGAGAGAGAGAGAGAGAGAGTAGAAAAAAGTAGAGAAATGGGAAACAGAAAGAGAGGCAATTGAACAACAGATGATGATTGTAGACTCTCTAAAACGAAAATCAGAAAAACTGCTCCATTCAATGAGTTTTCCATCATTGGGCCCAATCAACCAAACTTTTAAATTTGATACCATGTTTTTAACCCAAAACCAAAAAAACTGATGAATCAGATAAAGCTTTCCAGCCTGCATTTACATCAAGATTACATTTTCTTCCACTGTGCCTGCATCTTAAACTGAAAAAATGGTTTTAGGAATCAAATACAAAAAAATGGGTATTTTGCGAAAGAGATAAAATAAATAAATGAAAAACCCTAACACATCATAGATCTTGACTATCGAGCATATCAGCCGTGGTATTCTCCAATTGACGATAGTTCTTCATAGACTTTACAGTTCACATAACACAACTAATATAAACGTCTACCTGAACGCATGTACGAATCGTGTGAAGTGGAATTAATCGTGGAAGTGGTGGAGGTAAAGGCGGCGGCGGTGAGAAAAAGATCCAAATTTCTACATCGTGGGTTTAACCAATTTTATTTATTTAAAAAAAAAAATCAAGAGATGGAGAGCAAAAGATGTCGGGGGTTTAAAAGCGGAAAACGCAAAGGATTGAATTACCGAGTTTGCCATTGGTTTGAGAGGGTAATATCGGGATCTAGCTCAAATATTTGGGTGTGGATTGACACGTTTAGGGTTGAGGCGGTCTCGGTCAAAGTTTGGTAAGCTCTAAAATATTTTGGTGGGGATTACCGATTTCTCTTATTTGATTTTCTTAATACTTAATTATTGTTTACCCTTAAATTAATATTTGTTACTAAGATCTTAAGTTATTAGTATTGTTCAAATTACGATAAATTTGAAATTTTATATTTGAATTTTATCATGTATATATATTGATTATAATTAAACTTGTATTTGTATATTATATTAATAATGTTTTTATTTTCGTTACATGAATTTTTTTGGTAAAATTTGTTATATGAACGTGTTAATCGTAATTTATTTTAAATTAATCTTTAAACTTTTGAAAGTTCTAATTTCATCCCTAAACTATGATCATCATTCTAAATTAGTCCCTAAACTTTTTGAACATTTCAATTTCATCCTAAACTATATGAAAATACTAATCACATCCTTTGTTAATAAAATCGTTAGGCCAAATTATATTATTATTATTATTATTATGTTTGGAAAAAAATTCAAATTAAACTATGGTTGAAACTAATTACATATTTGGTTTACTTTGGGGACAAAATGAAAGATTCAAAAGTTTGGGACCAATTTAGAGTGATGATCATAGTGTGGGAATGAAATTGAAATATTCAAAAGTTTAAGGACTAATTTAGAATGAAAGTCATAATTTGACAATCAAATTAGAACATTCAAAACTTTAAATACTAATTTAAAAAAATATAATTTGGGGGACATATAATGCAATTGCCTCGTATAAATATACTGTGATCGACAAATGTACTTGCAGCGCAATAACTTTCCCTGAATCATAGTATTAACTCTATTTTTTTTTCTTTCTTTTAAATACACTCATTCAATGGCCACCAAACATCTTGTTTTCTGTATTATTTGATAAGATCTTATCATATCCATCATCAAATCAAGTTGGTGAACTAATGGCATTCACCATTACCGGTTGTGAAACATTCTATTAATTCGTGTAAACAAGAAAACAATTAAACTTTAAATATTCGAGAATCAAACCAAAAAGTCGTTTATATATATATATATATATATATATATATTTGTGATTACCCCATTCCCTTTATATATTAAATTTCTTCACTTGTCGTCAGTTGATTTTAAGTTTATCTAAAAAAATAAATTAATTAATTTAGGCAAAAACACACCAACAAAGTTGGAAAATACATACTAACAAATTTCGTCTTAAAATAGCTAGTCACCCACATTAACTATACATGTCTGGCAATTACTGTAAGCTTTAGTAAATAATAAGGTCAAGCAAATTGTAGTTTGTATGTGAGCAAGTTACTTGACTCGCATAATGTTGTGAGAAGGAATATGTTGGCATCTAAACAGAATTTTCGTGACTATGGGTTGCTGACAGGGGGTTCCAGTTAAAAAGGCCAGACAAATGAAGACGTGGACGACAACACATGGGATTTGGGAATCTAATGTTCTGTCTGCGACAGACCATACTCTGCCACCACATGAATTCCAAGCACAATTCCGACAAGCTACCGCCTTCAAAATCAGGTCATTCTCTATACATAGTAATTGACTATTCATTATAAGAAAATGTATATGTACCTAATAGGAACCAGAAGCCTGGGCCCCAAGGCCTGAGAGGATGAGATCTTCAAGAAAAACGTGGTAAACTCTACGTCCGACTCTCACCTGTTGTTTTCAGATCATTTTCAAAGATAGAACAGAATACAGAAATCCGTCTCAAAGGAGATTAAAACAGAGGAAGAGAAATGAAAGGTGAACAAATGTTTTCGTGTCCTTGCCAGTTCCTGGCCACGAATTGTACATAAGACTTCATACAATCAACCCATCCTATTCCGATTCTAGAAAGCAAGTTACCCGATACCCAGCTAACAGTTGTATTTGCTTAACATGTAGCTTTCTCTGTTACTCACATGCCAATTTGGTGTCGAAGCTGCTCAAGCAGATTGCAAACGCCTGGAATGCAGAGAGTGGATATCTGTAGTCCATGGTAAACATGTCCTTGCCAACTTTACCAAACTGGAGGATTATCTTATCGTGGTCGGGTTGTGCTGGCTGTGATGGGGTTGGTGCACCAGCTGCTGGTTGGTTTGCAGCAATCAACTGAAAGTTCTTGACCGATGCAACTGTAACCCTTCCTCGAAAGTTCAGGCACCAACACTGTAACTGCTCATGCCATCTTGGTTGTTTGTTCCTTAGAATCAAAGGCCTTTCCTTTCCTTCATCCTCTTCATCGCGGGTTCCAACAATGTCCGAGAATCTTGCACTACTAAACTCAGATGAGTTGTCAATGGCCTTTGAGAAAGAGATGCTTCGAAACGAGTCTTCAAGGGATCGGGGCATAAGCTCCCGCTGGCCAGGGACAATGCCACCTGGCTCGAGGGCTGAAGCAGGAATTGTGTACATACTACAGTGCATCCTACGAGGTCCCCTAGTACCTAGCACATTCAGCTCATAGGAGACCTGGGCAATGTTGTAGCTACCGGTGGGGACCTTTGGAGAGACCTTTTTTGAATACAACCTTCGGCTTTGACCAGGTGGTGAAAGCTTAGCATTGTTGTATGGAGGGTGAGTGTCATAAATTATGAATTTGGTACCAAGAAAATTAGACCTGAAGACGAAAAACAAACTTTAGGGTGTTCTTATTTGCAAAATTAGCGAATATGTAAAAATTAAGATAGAAAATCAGCTCAATGGTGCATACTTTGCACTTACATTATGCATCAAAATATCAGCCTCACAGACTTACATTTACAACCTAACAAATAATGTCAACAACAAACAAACTAGAGAGCACTTACAGGAGAATATTATACACTGTTTCCTTCCTCAAAATTGTCAAGCATCTAACTTTAATATAAAAATATAATACAACAGGTGGTTTAGCACATTTTGCATTCAAATCCTGATAAAATAATAGAAATCGTACCTAAGTTTTCCAATGTATTTGCTGCTAGATCTCGATATACTATCTGCATCCATAGAGATTACATACTCTGTGCAAGTAGTTCTACGGGTCCGTTTTGCAGAAAGAAGAAACTTCCCATTCTCAACAAGCAAGGCTGCAAAGGGAAATATACCAAAGTCAGGGTCACAAACCTAAATATAAATGGTAAATAGAAAGCAAGAAATTCTATGCATGTAGGACAAATAACACCATGATAATGTGCTATCTATAACTAGTTGGAATTAAGGAGACAAAATTAGAGAAATAGTTCCCCTTGGTGCAAGGGGAATTAAAAATAGAGGGTTATGATCCCCGGCCACCATGAGGCAAAGATGGCCGACAAAACCTTATTTAAGTTGCATGCAGACACATGATGAAGTTCAACTTATTCCAGCATAAAAAGGACATTAGAGCCCATTCCAATTTATTCATGTATTATTAAACGCTTAAAGTAAACCACTTGGTATAAACTCAACCATAACAATTCTATTTGTGTAACACAGCTCAGCCACTGGTCATAGAGGACAACAGAAAATCCACCCATAAACAAATGACATTTATACTTGAAACCAAGCTGATTAACATAAATGCACCACAACTATTAGAATTACTAGCTGAAAACATTCTGTCGTAATATATATATATATATATATTAAAATCCTAGCAAGACTAGAGGGATCAACAAGGCATTCGAATGAAAGCAGATTTACAAGGTTACTACTTACTAATAGCCAAGAAGTGTTTATGGAAATATCTAGGAACAGACCTGCTACAAGATATATTTATTGCATATTACAACCGTTTCTGCTAGAAGGCCTTCCAGAGTGAACAGAGGGAGCATTATTGCAAGTCAAAGAATTAATATTACAACTATAGGATGCTTTTTACAGCTATATTAGCATCCAAAGAACAAGAGAAATTTAATTTATAAAATAAAATACATTTTTTCACAGCGCTGAACTTAAACTTATCACAATAGAAACATTAGTGCTAACAATAAATTTGTGGTATTGCCCAAGGATGCCAAAGAAACACGTAAAAACACCAGAGAAAGGATGTCCGTAAGTCTCAGGACCAAGCCAATGAATTTGAAGGACGAGACTGCAAGAGTAGCTTACCAGGACTAAGGCAAAGGAAAAGATGATAAGTTAAATTAGATTTGTCTCTCTTTATGAAGCATTGGATAGTTCCATCCCTATGTCCAGGCTGTGATTAATTAGCAAATGTAAACATTGTCAGTCACCATTGTATATAAATGAAAATTCGACTGCAAAAGTTAAAACACATATGCAATCGTATGTGATTACCAAGACAAAGGATCATAATTGATTAGAGACCTAACCTGCTTCAGAGAAACTGGAAAGGTGATTTTCCCAGAGAACTCAGGACATCTAACAATTTCTTTGCACATTTCCCTCCATGACCTGCATACTGCGGCACAAGCAACAACATGCTTGCGAGCAGGCCACGTGCTCTCACTCGCTTCCAATCTCTTTATCACATCACGCAACAGCTCTGGGGGAAGGCTTGCCCAGCGGCTATTCTGGACAACCATAGGTTGATCATGCAACTCAAGCACTGAACCCTGAGATTTTCCCCTATGATGACCAGGCAACCTCACCTCAAAACTACGCCTAGATAAGCTCCCGATAGCATCCCTCACGTCGTTAACTATACTTCGGAACGACATTTACTCTTAGCACTAACAAAGAACCCCAAAAGAATTATTATGTCCTCCAAAATGGTTTGCTTAAATTACAGTTATGGTGCAGAAGATCCACACGCATGCAACAGCTGCAAAATCAAACCACAAACAGCTTAAAGTTAAAAATTTCGAAACTGAAATTTTCTTGATGAGAAAGTAAGAAATGGGGAAAATCTCAAAGCAAGGAAAGAAGATTCTCATAAAAGAAAAAGGCTCAATCAAAATGGACCCAATAAAAAGCAACTAAAATACCTAAATCAGAAACTATTATTTTGGAGGGGTTTTAAAAACCCTAATCACACCCCCCCCCCCAAAAAAAAAAACTCTTAGTTTCTCTTAATTGAAAATCTTAGTTTCCATGTCCTTCCCATAAAACCTTTATTCAAACTTATAATCTGGAACACGAAAGTACAAGAAATACAAAAAAAAACCTTTTTAAACCCTTAAAAATAAGCACCAAAATTCGCCAAAGTAATTTAGAATAAAATCTAACCTTCATCAAAGTAACTGAAGCTAAGAAGAGCTTAAACGTAAGCAAAGGTCAACTCTTCTTTACTCCTCTGAGCGTCGAGGAAGGAAATATGAGACCTCTTTTAGAAATTGAAAAATAGGAAAAAAATTAAAGTTCGAATTTAATTATTACACTCCAAATTATACGAAAACCACGAAAAAAAATCCAGAAATTAAGAGAAGAATGAACGTAGAGTTTCTTTTAGCACCGAAAAGAAAACTATTGAAGATAATAAAAAGGAATGTATCAAATCACCGGAAGCAAGGAAAAATGTTCAAGAAAAGAAATCAGATTTAGAAACTTTTGGAAGAATGGTACAATGAAGGGACTTGCGAAACTTAAAGGAAGCATGGATTTCTCTTTCCTACTTGAAAGGGAAGCTTTCTTTTTTTTTTTCTCAAGAAACAAACAAAGCAGCAAAATACTAGGAGAAATTTGAGATCTAACAAGGAAATGAAAATCACAATCAAGCAGAGCTCACCATCAATGTTTCGTTCCTCTCTCTTCAGTGTCAGATCCTCAAACACTTTTACCACACGCGCTTTCTCTCTCTGCTGAAAAACAAAACCACGGATGACCAGGAATGAGTTCAAGACATATTAGTTATGATCCCAGATTATAATGATTATATTTTCAAGAGTATATCAGAGGTTAAAACTTTGGTTGTTCGATGTTGAACTTGAAGAATCTAGATTTCGATCGAAGTTTAATTTTTTATTTGATTTAATTATATTTTTAAGTTGCTCTCAAAATAAATTAATCAATTCTAATCCAAATTCCTCCTTTAATTTAATTAATCAACTTACAATTATTATATGATTTTTTTATTTTATTTCTTTTTGTTTATTAAACGAAATTTCCTGGAGAGTACTATTTTGTCCTTAACTGTTGACTTTTCCGGATTGTCTACTTGTATATCTGACCAAAGAGTAAATTAAACGCGTCGTTTTGGCTACAATGCAATGTCTGTTTGATTGATTCCATAGGCCCCAGCCATTTTCCTAACTTAGCCACTTCCGTCGTCGTGAACACGTAGCGCACATTAGAAACAGTGGTGCACACTGCACACCGTAATTTGTCCTATGCCCTTGTCCCTCTTCCTCTTCATATACAATTTATCTTATTTATTTGTAATTATTTTTAATTAAAACAACAACTAGTAAACATAAACATATATGAATGAATTGGCTTAACAACTTAACATTTGAAATGAACTTTTTTAATCGTAATATTTTTTTTCTTGTTTATTATAGTCCTTGAATTTTATAAATCTTATTACTTGGATTCATCTCCATACACTCTTCATATTTTTTATAATATATGTCTCTCTCTATTTCTTTTAATTCTCGTTAATAATTTGAACTTGGAAAAATAAAACCCATTTTCATGATGAAATAAAATAATCACCAGGAAATTCCATTAGCGAAAACATGTGAAACAGAGTTGGATCCTTTGATTTAGATATTGTTTTAACAAGTCTTAATCAGGATTATGGTCCTCCGACCTTATTTTGTTTCCTAAAATTGATGGTGGCATGTTTCACCTTCGCATACAAAATGGCCAAACCATGATTTTATTTTATAAAAAAAATATTTGATCTTATCTTTCCCAATAATGTCTAATTCCCCCCCCTACCACAACGAGGATTTAATTAATGATCTAATTTACTCTCTTTTTTTCAACTTTAATATTTTTAAAATAGATTGCTTGTCTCAACTTGTATTTTTCGATTTATTGATAAAATAATTATATATTTTCCGACATACTATTGTGAAGTAAGTTCGTGTTTTTACTAATTTTATTTGAATTTATGTTTTCAATTTTATTTTTGAAATATGTACATTATCATTGTATTAATATTTCCTTTGATACATGTTATTTAATTTTGTTGGTCACCTCCCTGAATATCATTCCCTATCTCAATAGGAATGACAGCGTTTGAGCTGATTTAAATTTCATCATAGCTTATTTACATTTTTTATATACTGTTTGAGTTTATCTGACAACTAATTTAATATTTCAATAGAAAATTTTATAAATTAATCAAATTTTATGAATGCCGGTGTTTGGATGGTTATAATGTCTTGTCAATGTTGGAAATTTGGCTACGGAGATAAAATTATTTGTATTATTAATTATTCATTTAACAATTATAAAAATATAAAATATTAATTCATTTATATTTATATTTTTTTAAATTTAATATTATAAAAATTATAATAAATGAGTAGAAAATTGTATTATTTTATTTATAATATTCTTTATTTATTTTTAAACAATAATGATCAATTATTTAGTGAGTTTAATCTATCATCATTTTTCCGCCAGGCCAGTAAGAAATATTTTTTTAATAAAAAATAAATTAAAATTAGAAAGATAAAAGTAGATCTTAAGTTCTTAATATATACTTATCTTTCAATTTTTTTAATAGTTATAGTTAATTATAATATAATATATATTAACAATATTTCTTAATAATTGACAACGTACATACACACTATACTTAACTACTCGAATTAAGAATTTTTTTTTAAAAAAATCATTTTAACCATTAATATCACTTAATAGGTTATATCATTTTTTAGGGTAAACTACACGTTTAGTATTTGGACTATCAATTTTTTCTTTTTAGTACCTAAATTTTTATTTATTTTAAATTTGTACCTAACATTTACTTTTTATTATGTTTTGGTATCTCACCGTTAAAAACTTAACGGGACTGTTATAACATGATACTTTTTTATGTGTAAATTACATATTCATCATTCATTTATCTTCTCACTCCTTATTTGGTAAATGAAGTTTAATTTTATTAAATTTAATTACTTAACTTTCAAATTTATTTATTTTTATTTTAATTATATATGAATAATATAATAATAAAAATGCCATATCACACAAATTATTAATACAATAAATTAGAGTGATTAAAACATGATCAATTTGAAAGTTGAGTAGTTAAATTATCATTTTTAATTTTAATTAATAAAATAGGAGTGAGAAGATATTTAAGTGATGAATGATGTAATTTACCCGTAAAAGATTGTCACGTGCAGCAGTTTCGTTAAGTTTTAACGGCGGGGTACTAAAAAAAATAAAAAGTAAACGTTAGATACATTTTTTAAACAAATGAAAGTTTAGGTGGTAAAACGAAACAAAACTGCTAATTTAAGTATTAAACTTATAATTTATCCTGTTTTTTAGTATTAGTTTTTTTATTTATCCTTCAAGCTTAGAAAAGAACATTATTGTCCAGTTGGATTAAAACTGGAATGCAACACAAAAGAATGAAGTAGACATGAAAGAGAGATAGAGATAGATATTGTTAAAAACCAAGGCCAGTCCAATGAGTTTTAATGTCCTGGGCGAGATAATAATTTTATGCCCCTATACTCTTCTTCCGTGGTTGAATATTTTCTTGTCAGTTTTTAGATCAGCGAGAGAAAGATGGTGTAAGCTATGGGGTGTCAAAGGGATCATAATCAATTCTATAGAGCTTTGTTTGCAGAACAAGATTATTTTACTGGTTTACTTGTTTGAAGAATCAGTTTCTACTCCCTATTTCTGGAAGTGAATGCTGCAGGCTACCTTTCTTTTGCTATGTCGTTGTAAATATATATATATGTTCCACTTTAAATGGATTTGAGATTGTGGATGCTCAAGTGTTAATGAAATACACACTTAGATAAAAAAAAAAAGCTAATTCAAATAAACATTTTGTCAAACAGTTGGTGTGCGTAAAGAAACATCAATATTTCAATTAAAACTTGCTCTAATCAAAGGCTAAATTCATGAATTTGATTCATTAAATTCGAAAAAAAACATAATTTCCAATCAGAATATGAAACAAAATAGATAAAACACTCAAATTTTGAACAAAAGATTCAAGACACATAAAGTGAAGTCCTTTTCAGTAAAAAAAACACATAGGAAAGTCAACATACCAATACCAGAGATAGATTGATGGAAGATTACACCTGCAAAGGCAGAGCATATAATATTGATATCAAGCAGTACAAGTGCCCAAGTTGCTATAGCAAGAGCCAAGAGGCCAGAGGGCTAGAGTTTGAAAGTAGTAGGTTAAATATTTTGGATTTTAAACCAAATTGAAACGAATCAGACAAGGTCTGTTTTATAGCCTTTTCCATTACTGTTTAGAAGTAAAACAGAGTTTACACATTTTTTTTTTGATGAATGAATTTCAATGACTACATATGGGATTTTATGTTCTACTAATGCCCCTCAATACATGTTGCCCTAGGCTAAGACCCAGGTGGCACAGGTATTGGGGCCGGTCCTGTTCAAAAACCCAACCATCCCAATGTCGAAGCAACGTAATAATAATGAAATCATAATCGTGTAGCTGTTTTGAATATTTCAAGTTTGCGAGTAAAAGGTTTGTTGAATATTATTAAGAAAGAAGTTTGAATTGCTTGGCAGGTACGCCAGGAAGATGACGTTCAAAATATTATTATATAAATACAAATGGTAGAGCAAAAGCCGCCATGATTCCTGCCATGAAATGCTATTTTCCCATACACTTTAAAAATGAAACAATGAAGATTTCAATGTAACATTTGGTATATCTGCTGCTTTCCTAGATTTTCATATATATTACTGCTCGGGGTTTACTACAATATGGCCTCTGTTAGGCTGCATGCACCAACGATGTCTGGGTTGGGCTTTCTTGGTTGTATTCTTTAGAAAGAGTTTATGGCCTTTTTGCTGCTGCTCATTGATTTGAAAGAAAGATTAAAGAGAGATGGGAAACAGGTTGGTACAAGAAAATATCTGGATATTTGGTGTAATTGACATAAGACTATAAGAGTGGAAATCATTCTTCTCCATTGTGGCAGCTTATTTGGACAGCACAAGATCTCCCAAAAGGAAAACATTTTATGTGGCGTCTTGTCGAAGAGATGCGCTGCGCTTTTAATGGTGGAATGGAACATCTCTTTTTCTTTACATGTCATCTCATTAGATATATTGTTCGGAGTGATGTTAGATACTCTCCTCATTCTCTCTTTTATTCAGAGTTTACTATACATTTCTTTTCATTAATTGTTTTTCCTCCAAATTCTTTTTAACATCTGACAATTAATCATTGTGAAAGGTTAAATAAATATTATATAACAGAAATATTATTTACAGATTATTTTATCAATCAAGATGTTAAATGATCATCTTTCGTAAATGGAGATTCCCGTCACCATAGCACTTTTTTTTTTTCACTTGGCGTATCTTTGTTAATTGGTATAGGATCACATCATACACACATTTTTGTTCACACTTCACTCAGTGATTCATGCTTGCAATTGGACATAAAATTGCTCCACAAAACACAATTTTGTATAAGTGGGCGTGCTTGGTCAAATTAGTGGGCCTTAAAGTTTCAACATCTATTAATTAACCGAATGATTAAGGATATCTATATTATAATATTT